AGTGGACGCCCTGTGATGGACTGGCTTCTTGTCCAGGATGTGCCGTGTGCTTTCAGAGACGGGCTCCAGGCTCTTCGTGGCCCTGTATTAGATAAGCAGCTAGAAAAGTTGGATATATAAAGAATCCAACTCAGTAGTTCTTCAGAGTATATTAGTTTTCGTTGAAGTCTGTGTGCTTTCCATTTAAAAGTTTAAAAAGTGACAAAATTTCTTTAAGCACACGTTTATGAAAATGTTCTACTGCTCGTTCTTGGAGCATACTTGATGGAAATGAATATTGATATACTGTAACAGAAAAATCTTTCTGAAAAAGCCACATACGATAAACCGAGTGCTGTGATTTTTCACGTTCTTCAAAACTTTTAATTATCTTGTCGGCACCTCAGACGGTGATAAGGAGGTGAGGCTTCATCACGGAGACTGATTTTTAACAATGAGGGGTATTTCTGCGTCTACCGTGATTTTGCCATCGAGTCTTTTTAATTTGGCAGCCGGTCGATAAAGATGCACCCGATCGACGCTCGATTCCGGCTCCAAATGCCCGGCGAGTGACGTCTGGCTTTAAATGAGATATGCCAGCCGGCTCACGTGGCCCTGGTCAACACCGAGAATGACAGCATGCATTATCAAGACTGCACCTTTGATTGAAAAAGAGCCCTTTGGTCTATTTTGTGCATCTCGTAAAATCAAGGCCTGTTAGAGAGCAGAAAAGCGGCAGTCATTAAGAGACAATGTGACAATATGCATAATGGACTGAAATATAAAATAACTGGACTGAATGAGCAAAAGGCCTTTTTTAAAACTTCCTCACCCCCAGAGGCTTTGACATCTAAGCACCTAAAACAGATCAAGCCTTATTTAGGGAAACAAAACATTTACACGCCATTCTGAGCTTATAGTAGGTTATACAAACGTGTACCAGCATTGCTCTAATACCTTGTCACATTAAACCACAGAATTGTTGTTTAGCAAACTGCTAACTGGACAAATTTAGAGGGGGTGCTTATTTTTAAAAGACAAATGGCTTTGAATTTAGTTGATAGGCAAGCGCAGCACATGCAATAACAACCACCAACACAGTTTAGCTCTAGGTAGCTAGATGTTACTTTGGAGATGAACTCACTGGATGGCATTCGACGTGTTAGGTCTGACAGGCAGCTTACCTAATGGTCGCGTGGATTCAAATGCTGCAGCAGTGCATCCTGGGAAAGTTAAGCGCTCATCGGGAATTGTAATGAAACTCCCAGCCACCAGCTGTGATTAAAATGCTAAGTGGAAAATCACAAAAAGGCTTTTTTATTACTTATTAAAACTAAATAGCTGTTACTGGTTCTAGATTTTCACCCGAGAAATAACATACAAAATTACTGCGTCAATGCATTTTCCGCTTAAAATGCTATTACCGCATTTGTCTTCACGTCGCATTATGCATTTACTTTTTAATGTTTTTTTACATAAATGTATTTTAATAATCTATGCAACTGCTTGATTCCCAGAGGGAAAACTATATGAATATAGAGTGTAGTAATTGCTAGCACTGGTCAGATGGTATACTCTTTATAAAAGTAAATTTTTTAATCAACTGTAATTTTGCTGTTTTGTTTCTTCTCTGAGTGCCCTAATTGTTTAATTGTTGCGTTGCTCTTTGCAACTACCATTATATTTAATACAACAGGTTAATTTGTAATTTTTGCGATTTATAATTCTGTGTGGACCCATTTTGGCAAATACACACATCTGTATATGAAAATGAATTGCATTAAATACAGGTATGTGTGAGAGCTCTGGAAGGTTCTGTGAATGTCAGATGCAGCTGGTCACGTTTACCAGGTCCTTCAAATGTTTAAAATTCGTGCTTTTTGAGGACTTTTTGAGACCTACAGCCTCAGGCAGCCTCTGAAAGCCCAGAGCTGTTGTAGCAATATGTTTCTTGGCTGGTTGCTTTTATATATCATGGTCTGCAAAATCAAATAATCCCCGGTTTGTTCTTGCAGAGGAACATTAAGTATGCTACTCTCACATCTTTCTTCTGACTACGTCAGTATTTGTAAGGAAGGCCATTCTGCTTTAACCTGAACACAATAATTCAAGTCAACACAGCTGAAAACCAGTATACAGGAAACCTGTATACGAAAGATCTTCTTCTATGATTTTTAACTTGGTTGTTCTCTAAAGAAGATATCAAGCATGTGATGAGGTTAATTGAATCACAGCAATTCATCTAGACTAATGAATGGAAGATCCATTTTGTCAATCTCACTAACCAGGGCAATTCATTTCTCCTTTGTGACAAAGTATCTGTCAATAAGATTAAGATTATGCAAATATTATACAGCCACTTTGGGGAGAGAATCTGAAATTTCAGACTTTCTGGGTCTTATCTGCCTCTCATGGGGTGGAAACACAAGCCATTTTAATGGAATATATGGCAGGAAGGTTAGATTTCATCGCAGGATTTCCTGTCTCATGAAAAACTGACCGTAATGTCAGGGGTTAAAGGACAGTGACCCCACCACAGAGGGATAACCATCTGTGTGCATAACAGCCCATGGTTCACTATAGGCAGTAAACTCAGCAGCTCCCCCTTTTGGTAAAAGTACAGTCCTACAAGGGAGGATTGCAATACAATTTAAATGCTAACTGAAACATAATACTCCTTGGGTTTATAGAATTATTTTATTACAGCTAAACGAAGTGGGTACAAAAATACGAAATCACGTCACTGGATGACACTGCAAGAGTAAGGTGCCCGGGTCCCAAATACTCAGGACGAATGGGGTCCACTCTCTCCCAGTACTCCGCAGGCCTTTGCTGGGAGATGCTCGGGTACCGAGGGCTGTCTGACAGCATGTCCTCCAGCATTCTCTCCTCCGATGCTCTAAGGGTCCTGCCCTGACTGAGGATCTATTCCAGCACCACAACTCCGGCACTGTTCCGGGGTCACGAATGACCCCTGCCTACATGGACTGGTCAGTTCTGCTTCACAGCTCCAATGAAAGGCACGCTGCTACGACGACTGCTAGCCCATCATGCTAACACCCAGATAACTAGGAGACATCTTCAGCCTAAAGCAGGCCCAGCCAGTTATTTTCTGTGCATTGCCAGATCTGTATCAAGAAATCAGCAAGGCACATCGCAAACTTCCGGTCTGCTTCAAGCAGTGGGACAGTTAACTTCAGTTATCAGCTCAGTAAAAACTGAAAACTTTTATTTCATATTTCCAGCAGCCGCACTGCGTGGACTGGCTGGATACAGCCGTTTCCTACAAATGGATTGTGTCCCAAATTTCTTTCATCCTTATCTCTGAATGAAGAATGTCAGCGTACAGTCATGTTCTGTACTTCTGTCGAGTGAGGCATTCCGCGGTGAATCACACAAGGCACAGCACAGAAGCCATATTTAATGGAAAGTAATTAAGTATGAAGAGTCTGGATAAGGTGCACGCGAGAGTAGAAAGGAGTGTTTAATGCTAAATCGCCAAGCTACTTCTGTGAACTGAGTAAAGTATGATGTTGGGGAATTGGGTTCAGCAAAGTACAGTAATATCAGACTTTCTCCTGCTTCTGGGAGCACACAAGGCAGATCAAACGAAACATAAGATGCATTATTTGTCCAAATGAAAAACCACTGAACCAATACTCTAAGAATGCAACACTTTAGACTTAGTTAAGGAATCCTACCCTTGGATCAGAAATGGGGCAATTATTATGCAAAACCTAGGAACAAGATCTATAGGTAAATTTATCCAAATTTCCTTCACATTTTAAATAAAAATGAATCTTTATTAGCCTCCAGAGAACTGAGATAACTCGAATCTGAAATACATATTGAGTATTATCGTTTGGCTTTTGAAATCGAAACCTTCTACAAGACTTTCTCATTTCCTATCAAGGTTGAGTCCTTGTTGATGTTTATAGCTGGCTTTGCATTTGGTTGCCATACCAATGTGTTTAATTTGTTCCATCTTGAGGAAAGTTACTAATGTATACAACTCAGTGGTTCGAGGTACTGGTACTGGCTACCTCACCAGACCTTTACCCCTGAGACCTTAAGAAATGCATTTGGGGGGGATTCGGGTGGGGGAGAGGACGTATTCAAGGAACATCATTTATATACTAAAACAGGAATGTCATTTTACAAGTTTCTCTTTATAAATGACAGTTCGTTTTGAAATATTGTGTACACAAGAGGCACTGAAATCATTATTTCCATCTTTTTATTTTAATAGTTATACAAGCATACCATAATTGATTCTATTGACCAAAACGTTTCATGATTGATTTTTGTTTTTTTTTTTGCAATGCATAACTACTATTTTCTGGACTGTGAGAAACTGCTAGAGACCAGTCCGATGTTCACCCGCCTAAACATTAATAACTGGTTAATCTTTCACAGGACCAGTCCGTTGTAGCGGGTCAGAGCAACCGGCAAAATTTTGGCCAAATACTGCTATACAATTATTTCCCCCGGATCCGTGGTTCAACTATACATCACATAAACACTAAACACACATTTAAATTACGTAGTTTCACCATTGATCAATTACACAATTCACACAATTAATAACAAGCAATAATCATAATAATAAAAACAATAATGGTCCATAAGCACTTCGTGCTTTGGGCCCTTAATAAGTCCAACAATAATTAAAAATAATTTTGATTAATTGTTTAAACGTGTGATTATTTTGGTAACTTAAAAAAAGTCAAAGAATGCAACCAAATGTAATTGTAAAACAGACACATAAAGTTGAGAAAATGCCAAAAAACGGTGACGATGACTGCTGTCAGCATTCCCAGCCTCTCTAAACCGCAAGAACGCTCCTTCTATCGTGGGTGCTTCTCATTTGCTCACGGCGTTTCTGCAGTTACCAGGAGACGAGCCTTTTGAGCATTGTGGGAATTGCCGTTCAGAAGTAGTTTCTAGTTTTAGATAACAAACGCCGTGACGCTACCTAGTAAACTACATATCCCATAATGCACTCACCCCCGGTCCTTTAAATTTGTCTTTTGCGTGCCTGTGCACATGACTAGCGTACGTACAGCTTTTGGGCTAGCTAGGTGTTCTTCGCGCATGCGATAGTTAGAAGAGCATTGATTTTGTAAACACGGAAAAACTATCGCTATTTGCTGTCTAACATGAAGCTCCAGAACTTGTGTGTGTTGTTACTTAGCTGTTTATGTTTCCGGACCCTGGCGAGTAAATATTCCAAGGAAATTAATGACCCCAAACCTACTGATGGCAAAAGCACAGTGGAGTTCAGGATCGCCAAACTGAATCAGGTCTGGGAAAAAGCGCTCCGGGTGAGTAACTTAACGAGATGGCATGTACATGTGCGTCGTTAGGTCCGATCACAAATGCTTTACGCCCCGATGCCAATCTTCATTCAAAAAATAAAAACGTCAAGCCCCAGCAGAACTTGACTCAGCCCCTGATCTTTTCAATAGCTAGAAACTCCCCTGTGCATGCATGATTAATCACTCAGTGTTGCCATTTGTTTCTATCCATTCGGTGACTTAAAATATCTACAAGCCCGTATTAACTTGAGCTATTTTGTCATCAATTTTTAGCCCTTGCACGAACACTAGAAAACAAGTTGCAGTCAACTTGCATCCAAAACAAGCTTTAATTCTCTTGAATGTAGGCCATTTTGAACAGTAGTATGTGGAGTTCAATATGATTAAGCTTATTTTATAATGCAGTAAAGTAATATGTGATCAAGGGGTAATAAGGAGATAAGAATGGTTACAGCCAATTTTGAAATATGCGGTACTGAAGTATGACCCTCTGGTGGGGGTTGCTGAGTATCGGAAGCAGAAAACTTATTTTCCCGAAGGAAATGGCTTGTGAGACTGCACATTACATCCAGATAAAATAGTCAGTATGCAGTATGACATAAAACAATCTCTGTATAAAAATAAATGTGACATAGAGATGACAAATACTAATTGCTGGGTGAATGTGGTGATAAGTACTGCAGATATTGCATTCGAAAGATATTGGTGGAAAAAAAAATTGTATATGGTTGGCCAGCAGATTGGTATCTTACATCCCATTCTCTCCCCTCCAGATGCAACTGGATCCAGTTAAACAGGCTGAGCTGCACAGTGACCTAAAGATCCAGGAGAAGGATGAACTTCGCTGGAAGAAGATGAAGGCTGAGGGCCTGGATGAGGACGGGGAGAAGGAGGCCAAGCTGAGACGGAGCTTTAACGGTGAGCGAGCCTCCGGTCACTATGGTGACGAGATGCCCTACCTCTTTACATTTAAAGGGACCATGACGTATAACCATGCTGAGTGTTTAGGGCCTTATTGCTGCTGTAAGTATAGCCATAGCTTATTCAGGTGCTTTTTTAATTTAGTAAATGTTTTAAATGAATGGATGAATATCTTAAAGAACCCTTTCAGTTTCTAGACCTAAACATTGCATACCATAGGAAAGCTGCCAGTTAATCTCAGTGTAAAAAGATGGAATACAAATCTTAAAAGGTTAAATTGGAAAATAATTTTGTAGGGTGACTTCTAAATGTCATGTTCTGTTTATCAAGCTAAAATAATTAGAATATTCTAAAACTGCAAAGTGTCTGTTTTGCTGGCTTTGGTTTCTTAATTTGGTTCTGATGGTTAAGATGTATTTTCGCTAGGAAAACGTGCATAGGGATGTTGTGCGGCTCAGCGGACTAAGTCTCCGTGTCTGTGATCAGTAGGTCATTGGTTCAAACCCAACCTAAGCTGAATAGTCACATGTCTGTGGGCCCTTGAGCAAGGCCCTTACCCCCAGCTCCATGGGCACCACAAGCTGCCTGTCCTGTCACTGTTGCCCCCAGGCCTGTTCTCACCTGCATGGAGAGCTAGCAAAAAGAGAATTTCCCCACAGGGATCAATGAAGTACCTCTATTCTATTCTACTCCAAATTCTCTTGTCAAGTGTGAGTTTGTATCCTTTATACAGTGCTTGTAGTACTGACATCTTGAATTAAAGGACGCTGCACCTTTAACGAGTTTTGTTTTCCATTTTGTTGCAAAGCTGACAGCACCTTAATGTCGCCCTGTTTCTCTGGCCCTCAGTTATTTTAGCCAAGTACGGCATGGATGGCAAAAAGGACACCCGTCCATTAGAAAGCAATAACCTTAAAGACCACGAGAGCAAGGAGGGCGATTTGTTTGATGACCCCAGGCTGGACAAACTCTGGAACAAGGTGAGGGAACGATTAGAAAATTGATGCTCCATTTTCAGTAATGAGAACTGGAGGCCTGTCGTAATGGATGGTGGTGATGCTTAAATGGTTCCCAGCAGAGCGAATTGGCGGGGTTGATGCACCGTCGATTTATTTCTCCTATAGTGTTGATGATTTTCTTCTGTAACTTTCCATAGGCAACTAAACGTTGAGAATGACCAAGGGAATGAGGCCCTTTTGAACCTCTGTTTGTCTTTGTAAATGGAGAATCGTTTCTGTGAGGGGAAAAGTCCAGGGTTCGAGTACCACCCTTGCCGGACTTGGTTTAGCTAATTATTTCACACCAGCTAGATGTTAACTGTTGACTGACGTTCAGTAACCGCACTTCATATCCGCAAAGGTCTGATGTGGTGTTAGTATTGGTTTATATACTTAAACTGAATTTTAAGGGAAACCCAATGAAGTCCCCTGTTTGTTGTACTACCAGGTAAGCAGCTAGCATTAAATACCACTTAGTTTAGGACTTGATAGCCCTAGCAAAAGTGAAGTCTCGGTTTTATAGTGTGCACACAGTAATTTGTTTGTAATCCTTTAAAACATTTTGGGCTTTGAACTGTAAATTAAACATGAAAAGATCAGAAGAACATAAAGCGAGAGAACAGAATGGAAATTAATCAGACTTTAAAATTCAGTAGAAAGTGTAGGCGGTATGTTAATGTGTCTTTTATGCTTCTTTTAAAAGGATATACATCATTTATATGGTGGTACAAGGAACCGTATGCCTGTACCATATATATGTGCTCCTTGAGATGCTGTGAGCTTCTTTTAAAATGCACCAATGTCAGCCAGAGCCTTGGTGTAGAGGAATGACTTCAGATAGGCTACTGTGTCTGAAGCCCCTTTCATCTTGTAGGCCATGTCTTCTGGAAAGTTCTCAGAGGAGGAGCTCCTGAGTCTACGGCGGGAGTTTGAGCACCACAAGGAGAAGGTCCAGGACTACAACATCCTCATGGACACCGTCAGCAGGACCGAGGGTGACCGCTCCCTCCGAGCCCCCCACTCCTCCCTTCCTCTGCTTTTTAAATGTAACCATTACAGGTTGATTTCCTGCATCCTTCACCGGGGACCTGCAGGGTTTCTCCAGGGTCTTTGTTGACACTATATTGCCAGTTCCTGCTACCCAAGCCTTATGGGAAATCGTAACCGTCCATCAGTGCCTATCTGATCGACCCTTGTTTAAATATCAAGATTAAGACTGATATGTCACCCCCTTCAGAAATCCACAAGAACGTCATCTCCCCCTTGGAAGGGGAAGTCAAGGAGAACGCTCTCCATCAGAAGCACCAGGACCTGAAGGAGAAGATGCGGAACCTCAACCAAGGTTTTGAACGACTGCGCAAGCTGAGTCACGAGGGATTCAGCACGGATAGTGGTGAGCGGTCCGAGTCTCACATTCCTGGGTTGATAATCTGCAGGAAGCCAACTGTCCATCCGATGAAATCGGTTATTCAAAACTTCAATTCTATCCCTGAACAACTTTTCCATATCTTTCATCCCAAACCCAGTTTGAAGGACTAATTATTTAAATACAGGTGTATATGACTTTGTGTATTATTTATGGCAGTCCGTGTTATTTTTGAACCCATAATAGGACTATTCTTCGGGCAGCTTCCTCAAAGGACCCATAGGTTGTTAGCCATGATAGACGTGACATTTTGGAACAGGCTTGAAAATATGCCTGTTATTAGTCAAACGCAAAAACAAGCAGCAGCCCAACTGGCAGTAGATGACTCACGGTTATTTTTCGCAGTGTGAAAGCCAAAACAGGACGGTAAAAATGTACTAAAGTACGTACTAAAGGCGTGGAGGCTCCTGACGTCTTGTTGAGATGTGACCACGTGGTAATTGCATTCTTCACTTTTGATCTTTAGAGTTTAAGGAACCAAGAGTCATTGAGCTGTGGGAGATGGCGAGGACAGCCAACCTTAGCAATGATGAGCTGGATTCCCTCAAGGTGCGTTTCTCCTTTCCTTTAAATTGAGTGTAAGAAGCCTCCTCAGGGTCACCTTGAAAAGTGACCTTTGTTCCTCTACCCCATACAGGAAGAGCTGAAGCACTTTGAGACCAAGGTGGAGAAACACCAACACTACCAGGAGCAGCTAGAGCTGTCCCACCAGAAGCTGAAGCACGTGGAGTCCCTGGGGGACAAGGAGCACATCTCAAGAACCAAGGAGAAGTACAATAACTTGGCAGAGAAGACCCGGGAGATGAGCTACAAGGTGGGGCATGTAGACCTTTTCCTAAATGTGTAGAACCATTGTGAGGGATTGTTATGAAGACATTTTTATGGGATCTTGTCTTTTTAGATGAAGAAGCACATGCAGGATCTCACCAGTAAGATCTCACGCAATGGATTCAACCACAATGAGCTGTGAGGGTGTGTGGATGCACCCGAGTGAACTGGCTTCCTGCTTCTGGGACCTTATCCAAAGGATCTACATTGCAGTTCTTCCCTCTCAACACACCATGGTACAGTAGATGAGCAAGGATTGTGGGCTCAATTTAAAACACTTTTTGGACCATAGGATGTAGAGATTTGTGTAATCAAAACACGAGAAATTGAAAGCACTTATTTTATAATGACCAATTCATGTTATGATTATTGAATATTTTTGCTCGGATGTTACAGTATTAGTGAATTTTTGTTCAGACGGTTTTGTGCTTTCGCGTGTATATTTCGCTTACAATCTTGACTCTGCTTCACATGAGTACTATAGTGGTTTGAAGGGTTTAGAAGATCGGCTGGGATGACCCGATCGTTTCTCACGTACAGCTGAGAAGGAGGGGACACTGGGATAGGTGGGGTTGCTGGGGAAAACCCAACAAGTCAGCCATTCAGATGTGGCTTCACCTGTATCCTGCATCCAATGTTCAGCCAGCAATAGGTCCAATGTAAGTAAGAGGTTAGCAGTTACTGGTAGTCAGTACCTGGATGCTGTGTGCGTTTGGGGGGGGGTGTCTACATTGGCTGTTGTATTTGTCGATTGGCTGTATGATGGATTGCCTTGTGGCCAGTGCTTCCTGGGGATTGGCTGCCAGCACCCGTACTGACATTTGGTTAGAAGACAGATTTGTATTGTATGCATTTGTACTTGTGTAACACTCAATGTTTTATGAAGGAACATAACGTGAGAGAATCGAGGCAGAACTTGTACCTAGCCTTCTAATCAATCACCTTGAATAAAGCAAATTTTACATCTGGTTATGCCCTGTGTCCTGGCCTAGAACCTGAACAAACTATACTGCAATGTCTTCAATTCAGACTACTACGAGTCCACCGGTTTCTTGCAGACTTTTGAGAGTGATTGAATGCTAAACTTGCTTTTCTAAGGGTTAGAAAAAGCATAAAAGGACATAGCATCTTCCCCTAGTCCTCATGAGCAGTGTCTCCCAATCCAGTCCTCGGGGGAACCCCGGACAGTCCACGTTTTTGCTTCCTCTCAGCTACCAGCGCACCTTTACCAGGTATTCGGTGTTCCTGATTGGCTGGGAGCTGAGATGAAGCAAAAATGTGGACTGTCCAGGGTTCCCCAAGGACTGGGCTGGGAAACACTGCTCATGAGGCACAGAAGTCCAGGTTTTCTTGAATTGGATGGTCTGTGCCTGTGATCAGAGGGTTGCCAGTTCAAATCCTGCGACTGGGGAGGTGCTTACGCCACCGGGCCCATGTTCCAGGGCCATTGACCCTCTGATATCCTCACTTGAACATAATTTTGGACAAAAGTGTGTTCAATGTAAATCTCACCTGGGATGGAGGGCTTAGCAACTGCAACCACCAATTCTAAAAGCCACAGACCCCCAGACCTGGGCTCAGGGGTGGAAAACCCTCTTTGACAGGCCGAGAATAGGTATACCTGTTTGCCTTCCTATGGAACCAACCTCTACAGTCCATTGGGCAATAAATGTTTGAGAGCAGGAATGCGAAGGACAGTGGCAGCCACTTCAGCTAAATTTGTGGAGGATACAACCATGCAAGTCTTCAGCTAGTTCCTGTGCAGAAACACTAAGTGAAATAGTGATTAGTGCATGAAAAGGCCATTGACTGGAGCAGAAAGGTAGCATACGGCTCCAAAACGTCATCGAGAGCGGCAACAGGAAAAAGTCACACCTAAACCGGTAAGGTGCCTAAATTTATTAGAAATACAAAGTAAAATCTATGCGTTTGAAAAAGATCCCTTCCAGAGCGTTCACTTTACATAAAATCCTTATATGTACAACTTTGAGATGCGTGTTACCTACACGGCGAGGATATTTACAGGTCGTGTGGAACAGCTGGGGGTGAAGGCGAGAAATGGAAAAGTGAAGAGCGTCTTCCTGCATCTTCACCTGCATGCAAGCCAGGAGCTCCAGCAGAACTCCGTCTTTACTCTACCTGCCTAAACATACAACACACCACCGTAGGGCACATATACTCCATATACCAAGAATAACTTCCTCCCCAGGGCCAGAGGATCAAATAATGCTACAAAATTAGGAAAGATTATTCTTATCACTCTAAAATCTTTTTGCATAATTGAGGTCCAAAACACTGCTCTCCTATTCATTTCCTGCAAGGGAAATATACGTAACGGTAAAGATAAGACGGTAGATTTGGGGTTGAAGCTGTCCGGAGCTTATTTTTATGCATCCCCCACAGCAAAGAACCAGCCATTAGGATAGTAGCAGGATGGAAGTTAGCACCAGAAACTACGAAATTCCGAAGCGGCCAGTTCTGCTGTTAGCGTCCGTCCGGAAGGTGGGACGTCCAGCTCTCGGCAGGAGGACGTCACTCGAGCGCCAGGCGGACCGTGTTCGCACCAAGCCATTCCAGAGCTGAGGAGGACCACTGAAGCGTAACACTGAATAAGGTTGGTCTTGACACACGCATGCACGCTACGCTATGCTATGCTACGCTACACGGCACAGGACGTTTGGGAAATGACGGCTGCAAAGTGAAGACGTGGAGGGAGTGTCGGTAAGTACAATGCTACAAACCAGGGCCGGGCTGGCTAGATATTTTTCCCGGTAGACCAATGGCATATGCCGCCCCCCCGTGAACAATATTTAATGTAAGGGACCTGAAAGTTCAGAGCCAATTTTGAATCTCAGTCCAGCCCGGCTACAAACTCGCTTGAAAGCTGCCACCCATGAAGCACATATGATGGGTAACCACCATCTCAATATCGTAGGTAACTAAAGACAGGAAGTGGCATAACAGACCCAAAAAAATCCCCCAAAACGAATCACAAAAAGGTTTCAGGGGAGTTTTTCCTCCCTTGGCGCCGAGCCAGTTCCCAGGGGGCTGATGACAGAGCTCCGAGGGCGGCCAAATGACAGTGAGGAGGGGGGAAGAGAAGGGGAGTCTGTGTGCGTCGTGTCCAGAAAGAGGCTGAATGTGGAAGGGAAGAAAGAGGAATACAAACGAACAGCGACAGCTCCCGCATTGGGCAGGGTGGGGGGGGTGGATGGTCATTTTCTCAGACGTCGGGTCTGGATTTGGTTACTCCGCGCTGGGAGCATGTGCTTCTGCTGCCGGGGAGGGAAAAAAAAAAAAACTCAGAAATGGAGCCGCGGGTTCAGTCCGCTTGACAGGTCACTGCGGCGCCCCCTTCTTCCTCTGCTCCAGCTCCTGCAGGCGCTCCTCTCTGCACTGGGCATGCTGGGAGCCCACTTTGTGGGCCGTCTCCGTGGCGGCGATGTCAATCAGGGCGTACTTTGTCGAGCCTCCTCCTGGCGTGAGAAAAACGAGCATTATCATCCCCTATCTCGCACCCCAACAATATCAGCCGACTACAGAAGATGAACGTCCCAGTACTGACGCATGCAAATCCCTGAATCTTCTTATTTAAAGAACATTGGTTTTCCTTCCGGCATTAGGTCAGGGATCTATGCCCATATGCAAAAAGGTGTGGGTTTGAGTCCCATCACAGCATGAATGGGCACCAATACCCCAGCTGGCCCAGAGGTGCTGAAGGCTGGGTGACCCCGCTCTCTGACCCCAAGCCTGTCCTCACTCTAGACAAAAGCATCTGCTGTAAATGTCAAATGGCCATTATATCTAGTAACCAACCGAGAATGTTACTAAAGCAATATGAAATACCACCCACCTTCAACTGTAGTACTATTACTAATGCTACACATACAAATGACAGTGGGATGCATTTTCTGATAAATCACATCAGGCACAAATGTCTCCCTGTGCAGGCAAGCAATTACATTAACAAGCTGTTTTGAGCCGACTTTGGACGCAATTCACCTTAGCCCTCAGCCATCAACCGCAGGAAACCGCGAGTACAGGTTCACTGTTCTGTTCTCTAGAAAAGTCAGGCTACAAGGCAACTGCTCCCCCCCCCTGCCACTGCAGCACAGTGTGGCGATTAGCAGCATGCTAAGAGTGTGCGGTCGGGCCGAAGCACAGAGATGGCCGTGCAGAGCGGGAGCGCTGGCAAGCCGTGCGCACACCGGGCTTAGGGAGGGAGTGCTCTTACTACGTCCGCGCAGGTGTGCGCCGTTACCTCGGACCGCAGAGCCAGGCTCCTGCAGCTCCAGCTCCATGTAGTGGAGCTGCTTCTTGGACGCGGGGCTGATGGGAATGTTGACGTAGGTCGGCCCGCCCCCACGCGGCCTTTCGGGCGGCGCCGCTGCCGCCACGTTCCCCAGGACGGCCGACGCGCTGCCTGCCGAGGGACAAACCAGCGTCGGCACCAGCCGTCGAGGCACAGGGGAAGACCGGAGGAACGCGAGGAACCTTCAGGGATTAATTTCAGCGGCTCGGCCAGCAACCTGGCAGGTATCGAGTCTGGCACCAAGCCCGTCTCTGCGGCTTTAGTTTAATAAGCTTACAGATAAAGTACTTTAATAGCCGGTAGGGTTTAAAAAAAACAAAACAGAAATGCAGGATGGATTCAACAAACCCTGATTTCAGTAAATATAACACTGCATGTCTATAGTGATTTTCAGCTAATTTTCGAAAAGCATCTTCCCCAACTTGCAGGCCTCAATGCACTTGCTAATAATCAACCATTGGCCATTTGCAGATGAATCCGGTCCTCCAGCGTCAACTATGTCAACTACTCATTGAGATGATAACATGGGATACTAACCACACTCTGCTGGATTCACGCCCCCCCTCCTGGGTGCATCGATAGTGGAGGCCATCAGCTCATAGCCTCCTTTGGGATCTAAAAGGAACAGAAGCTAGCGATGAGCGTCCTGTGAGGGACAGGACGATGGGACAAAGGGGGACTTCTCCAGAGGAAGCCACCCAAACAACTGCCCCGAATGACATATTCAGTCATGTGATCCTAAACGCACCTGTTAACTGATTAGTTACACTTCAACGTACACGAGCAACATTGTGCGAGAAAAAGGCGCACCTCAGCAAGAAATGGTCAACTGCCAGACCAACTGTAAATGATCAACCAAGGGCAACCATTGCCCCGAATCCCTTTGTATGATCTGGAATGATCCGCAGGTTGTCTCAATTCGCTGCGGTGGTAGGCCCGAAGCAGATTCCAGCTCTGTTCATTTTGACTTCATATCCTTAGGAACTTCAATTGAGTATTTGCGACAATGTCATCAAATGTTATCAAAAAAAAACAAAATAAACAATGATACACACTATACTGAAAGCAGTTAAGCTAACTAAGCAATTAACATTTCATAACATTCCATAGTCATGTATAAAAAGAAGTGGGCATGACCCGTTGCCCCTTATTTTGGGTTTTGTCAGCATGCCATGAAGACGTGATCTTTCACAAGGATCGACAGCATGGAGGCGTAACGAAAGGAGAGCACCTTCTAGGGCTCAGGATGGAAAGGAGCACATGCTCCTAACTCAGCAATGTCTATACATTTGCTTAAGATGCAAGGATGAAGAGCATCATAAGTTGGCTGCAAATATCAAGGGACGAAGATACAAGAAGTCAACTGCAGCCCATGGATAATTACAGAGGGACGCTATGGTTGGTTTGCAATGCACTGCATCATGTTCTTTCAAACAGAACAGAAAGAGGTCTAGAGAGCAGTGGGGGGGATCTGATCAGATAAGCCATCCATCTAGAACAGGGGTCTCCAACTCCGGTCCTGGAGAGCTACTATCCAGTAGGTTTACTATCATACCCGGCTTCTGATGAGCCACACTAGTTCTCAGGTAAATACCAGGAACAGGTGTGGCTCATCAGAAGCCAAGTGGGACCGAAAACCTACTGGATAGTAGCTCTCCAGGACCGGAGTTGGAGACCCCTGCTCTAGAAGAAACAGACGTGCACATATTGGTCTGTGCCGAAAGAAGCCTACAGGCTTGAAAATGATTCCCCGTGGTGAGGGGGTCCTGGTGGTTCTGCTATGCTGGGTTGCAACTTTCCTGATATGGTTTAGGTTCTACTTAAACCCTTGGAAGACCAAGTAAACACCAATAAATGCAAAGCCAGTGTGAGTGGTCGTGTTCATCCCACAGTGAAGCACTTCTAATCTGGTGGGTATGGTATCTTGTGGGATTAAGACGCCCCTTTTCACCAGGCACCAGTGGTCACAAGCCTGTTGATACTGACAGCAATGTAAATCATCCCTGACCATGAAATCTGAATTGGTGCTTATGGGGGACACCAATGTCGTACCATGGCATCAAGAAAACACAAAATTATGTAAAGGAATCAAATCCCTCCAAAATGCTCCAGATGCTTTTAGAATCTAAGCAAAATATCTTCATGTAAGCGGATTGTCTGAAAACCGTATGACTATTTTGCCAGTCACACACATGCGGTTATAACACCTATCGCACCAAACGAATGGCGTGAGGCTGAAGCCATCTGGTTGCCATGGTGCCAGCTGCAAACACCAGCATGTCTGCCGCCACTCGCTAGCATTCGGCTCCCCCTTCATACCACACTGACGTCTTACCAGAAGTTTGCCTGTGAGCCTTCGCCATGGTGGAGGAGCCCATCGAAGACACTGCTCCTGTCGGGATGAGGACAGCATCGTTACCGCAGACGGACCTCTGAGTCCGGAAAGCCCACAGGCTCCCGCGCTCTCCAGCTCTCTCTCCACGGCTGCCCAGGCACGCTCACTGACACCACGGGGCGAGTGAGGCCTCTTTATGCAACACACGTCGTGACGGCCGCAGCGAATCAATTATATTTTCTGCACGACTCCCAGCTCGATGATCGATGCAACATTGCATTCATTTGCAGTGTTCCTTCAGAGCTCAAACACGGATTTCGGGTGTTATTTAACAGCACGAAGAGCTCCCTATTGCGGAAGGACAACTGAAACAAATAATTCAGACGGTGGTTAATGATTCTCAATTAGCTGGTAGTGAAGAAAATAAATCTAAAATAAGTCTAGACATTGTATATAAGACCCTTTGGGGGAGGAGGGTCTTCTGATACAAGTTGGTCTTATGCTTTTATATTTGTTTTGCTATATATGACCACTAAAAGTTAGTTCTCTGGTGGCCTCCATATATGGTCTGAGAAGCTCCGCTATCAATTAGCGAAACCAGACCAAACCGGTCAGGAGGCGCCTCTCTAAACCCCACGCGTCCGCCACGACACACGAGTCACACCAGAACGGCCCGTCAGGTCAGAGGTCAGCCTCCCGTATTCAGAGAGGCACTCTAATGAGGCAGCCCTTACCTTCAGAGTCAGCGTACAGTCTCTGCTGACCACAGCTGCCCATCAGTTCATAGCTGCTCCGGTCGTCAACCTGAAAGACAGCAGGTGATGGGAGAGAGGGGCTTTGTTCTGATTGGCTGCTCCCTAAACCACTCACCCAATACGATCACTGTTTATGCTAACTTATACAAAGGCATTCCATATTAGTCTGTCCTATTGACCGTATTTTCCAACCATAGCTCTCAGTCGCAGACTTTGAAGGGGGCAGGGAATAATTGATCCAGTACTGAGGTCTCAGGTTTATTCCATTTTTTATTCAATAATTATCATAAACTACTACAAATAATATTGTTCTGGCCTTATTTCTTGCACAAGCTAATTTGTAACTAAACATTCTGCTTGATTGGCACAGCACATCCACATACACACCCAATCGTACAGGCGAAATATGATTATTGTAAGTCTGAAATCATCACAGACCCACGAAACACTCAAGTAATGCTTGGTCTGTCCTAATACCCACCAAATTAATTCCTGAACAAGTTTAAGAAGCTGACAGCCTTGGGGAAAATAGGGCTTCTATCCCTGACTGTAGACATTATTGTTACATATTATCTGGTCTCGTTCAACAATATTCTAACTGTTCATTAGACACGTCTTCAAATAACTTTGCATTAAGCAGTTTGCCAACCTATTAAAAATTACCTCGGAGGACTTCTCCACTCCCCGCCCTTCCATAGCTTCATAGGCCACGCCTCCTTTGCCCTTATCCTCCTTCTTCATTGGCTTTTTGTCTAGATGACAGAAGGCGGAGCTTGTCATCGTTTTTTGTGACATCACAATACCCTGGTCTGACCTAAATCCTTCAAAGCTCTGACTGCCATCCTCAAACAAACATTAGTGTTAAAATCCCAAAAAACCTGCAATGTTTTAGGGTATGTTGGGAGGTCCTAACAATGTGTCACCTGCTAATATAGTGAAACACCGACAGCAATTGATGTCTTGCCCACTGGAAGGTTACACTGCAAGGCAGGAAATATAATCATTGATTCACAACACGCACATGGTATTAAACTAAAACCCTGCATGAGACTTATGTTGGAGGGTTGTTGGTTCAAATCCCTGGGTTGGCAGAGTGATCCCACTATTGGGCCCTTGAGCAAAGCCCTTAACCCCAAATAGCTCCAGGGACTGTCTGAACATGCTTTCAGAAAGAAAAAAAAAAGTTTCTTTGGACTAAAGCATCTGCTAAAATAAAAAAAAATTGTATTGGACTGGCGAGAGACCAAGATTTATTATTTTACCATGTGTCACATCCCCTGAAAAAAAAGGAGATATTTTTTGGATCTCCATGAAAGAACAAAACAGGTGCCCCCAGGCTATGTGAACATTAGTGTATGGAGCAGTGATCTGACAAAATTAGAATATGGAATCGGGTGAAAAACTCAGTGTAGTTAGACAGTGGTGCAGAGACTGGGGACTCAGGCAGGCTGGGAGAGCAGGAAAGGGGGGACCTCTTGGCATCTCACCAGCCTGGAGAACCTGAAATGCTGCAGCATCAGGATCTACAGCCGTAATGCACGTGAGAATCACCATCCACCTTGTACGACAGGGGTAGGTGTGGAACGTAACCCTGATCCTAGACTGCCGGTATTCAGCCGGTTTTTGCATCCTGTCAGGTATCTGATGAACTGCACCTGATCTCAGGCAGGTAGTAACTCATCAGGTGGGATAGAAAACCTGGATACCGGCACTGCAGGATCAGGGCTGCCTACCCCTGTTGTAGAGTATAACGTGTCTGTGCGTCATTGTCCTCGCCTGTGTGTCACCGCATGCTGCCATTAATCCGTTCCCGGAGCTTTAGCTGTAGCCTCCCATTTGTAATCAGGTGGCATCGATGCTCTGCCAGTTTTTGAAATAAACATCACTGCAAAAAAAATGAATAACCCAAAAAGTGTTCCCCACCGCCCCCCCCCCCATCCAGAATAAAATTGCATCAGTCTGAAGGCAACTGCTGAACTTCAAGGACCGATCTGGCATTTGGTCGACAGACACACCAAAGGAAAAAATACGACTTTCACCATATAAAGGCGTTTCACCACATAAAGGCGTTTCACCATATAAAGGCGTTTCACCACATAAAGGCGTTTCACCATATAAAGGCGTTTCACCATCTAAACAGGGCAGGAATGACACTGGACCCACTGTGAGCCGCCCATTTTCCACAACGCACCCACAGGGGATGTAGCTCAGTGGTAGAGCGCATGCTTCGCATGCATGAGGTCCTGGGTTCAATCCCCAGCATCTCCACTCTTTCTTCATCCAAGGGTCAGTAGAGCAATATCACTCTGGACCCATGAGCAAGGTTCTCAACCACAGTTAGTCCAGGGACTGTCTGATTCTGCTTTCTTGAAAATGTGCACATTGACTAAACATTTTTTTTTTTATGATTGCTGCTGGACAGTGATACAGATGATGGCATAGACGACAATGTACAGTTAGACTGGGAGTCTCATCTGTTGTTTTGCATTTGCTTGCTTTTAAACCTTGACCGAAGGAACCATGAAAGACTTCCAATGTACCAGAAATTCTGTACCTGTGCAAATGGCAACAAAGTTTCAATTCAATTCTAGACGAAGCACTAGTTACCTACAATGGATGACATGTTTCGGTTAACACAACCGACACAGAACATACAGGCCTCCTATGATACTCAACCCTGGTCCTGGAGTGCCGGAATCCAGCGGGATTTCCATCCTACCTGGTCTTTGATGAACCACCCCAGATCTCAGGCAGATAGGAAATCAAGCAGGACAGAAAACCTGATGGATACTGGAACCTGCCTAACCCAGCTCTAGATACCAGCATGCATGCAATCACAAACCAGTACAGGAGCTCCTACACAGAGCCCTTCATAGGACGTACCTGATCCGGTTGGAACGGCCAGGACTCCTGAATGCGGGAGAGTTGTTCCCTAAATGGCAGAGAGAGCAGAGCGTCAGCTGATTAGCGTGGGACTGAAACATCCTGATTGAATGTACCTTCAAACCCAAGGCACCGCAAATAAGCTCTGCTCCCGAACAATATACAAGTCAATCTAAGTAAGAGAAAATTTCAGAGATAAAATGCAATATTTTTAAAAAGGTACCACTTTTTAAAGTTTAATTTGTGCATTTTGTAGAGCAGGAATGGGTTAGCACACTTCAGAAAGGACACGGAGTCCACACAATTTTTGTTCTGGCCCAAGGATTAATCAAATTATGTTTACTTATGGATAAAACCAGCCCGCTTTTGCCATTCTGAATAACCTACTGATTGGAACATTTTCCTAAGAGCAACTCATTTCACCCAACAAAATTCAAAATTACAACAAAATACAACAGACCCCGTGGCCCTTCCAATGCATGGCTGCCCACCTCTAGTGCCAATTCAAAAAACAAAATAAAAACCCTTCTTGGCATTACGGCCACTCGGCAAATAATATTATAATTACCAGGAGCCATTCAGCCACTGATTTGCTTCCCTTTGGCAGTAGATTGCAGGATGAGGAGGAATACGCTGGGTTAAAAAAGGAAAGAAAAAACAGGCACGCAGGTGGACACCTGTGGAATCCTGAGGGAAGCCCATGGCTCTGGGTCCTACTGTTCTTGAGAAGGACTTTATTTTTAAAAGTACAGCTTAGGTCTTTAAATGAAAACCGAACCCCACTTCAATCACGTAGAAAAGTAAAACAAAAAAAAACAAGCGTTTAATTTAATGGTCCTGTGGTGTTTTAGATCCATTCTGGAACCCTCTAAAGGTCAAAACGCCCAAGCCCCTGCTACAGGACCCACTGTAAAATGTAAGCCCCTGGAAATACAAATGCCTTCTGACATCACATCACAAGGTCTCTCCCAAAATAGCTCTCATTGTTTGGGGGTGGGGGGATGGGGGGGGGGGGGTAGGCTTAGGACAGAAAGTCAGGTCCCAGAAGCCCGCAAACGCAGATCCACAAGTATCACACTGCTTGAAAGTAAAAGCGATACAGAAGCAGCGTGAAGAAACCCCTGAGCCAATCCAAACAAACCTAAACATTAGTCCACCAATAGGAAGCCAGCTGTCAATTTCATTAATCATGCGGGGACCTTTAAATTGCATTAATCAATGTGAAAGGTAAACAAGAGTAGATGAGAACATCAATACAATAAAAACTCTGTATCTGACACATGTGCTTATGTGTCATTTCTTGTTAAGCAATATGCAGAAACCTTTTCCAAACAAGACCACGATAAACGCACAGTTCTTACCTGCTTACCACATTTTTTCATTGCTGAGTAGCACTGCTCATGGGTAATGTAGTTTAGATTAAATGAATGATTGCACTGGATGGAAAAAAAAAGGTTTTGGGGTTTTAAGACACAGGAATTTCAAACGGCACGTTTTATACTGATGGCCTGCAGTTAATATGGTATAGCAGGGAATCACAAAAACCATCTACCACCTCGCATTAAAAAGAAATTAAACAGATCTATACTTCAGGCTTTGGATGTACTACAGTAATATGGAATAACACAGTATTTCTGCGACAAGATTACAGAGGAGCAAACAATAAAATCAGGATTACCGCTCGGCGAGTATCATCGGATTTCAAATACCGGAATAATGCTGCTTTTGAAAATACTGCCAGAATACGGTCAAAATCCCATATACCACAGCATAAGGTCTGGACAGTATGATGCTATGAAAAGCTTGACACAGTCCAAGTCGACTGCACGCAGTTTCATAATCATGACCTCAGAAACACGTGCAAGTAACATGCACAAGGGTGAAATACAAGTCTTTGCTGACGTATATTTTCACATCTACAGCAAGGTGACACATTCATGGCTGTCCGAATGTCCCTCACATAACTCCGCAAGCTATCCATAATATACGGTACCAGTCAAAAGCCAGTTCAAATCCCTAGTTTGGCAGAGTGATCCCACCATTGGGCCCTTGAACGAGGCCCTTAACCCCAGTTGCCCCAGGGACTGGCTGCCCCTACTGTCCCCTCTACACCAGTTCCATGAGGTGGCCTCCTGGGATGCTTTTCCAGCTGTCCTGAAGGAGGTCCCACATATGCTGAGCCCTCATTGGCCACTTTTCCTTCACTCTCTGATCAAACTCCTCTAAAACCATCACTACTGTGTTTAGGTCAGGTGACCAGGTCATGTGACACTATCACTCTCCTTTGTAAGCGGATTGGCAAATCCAGACTTTTGACTGGACTTATGTCCAATAGTTAATAGTTAACACTAAAGAAAGAAATGACTGTAAACATATAGAAAATAAGGGGTATCCTAGTACAAGGGCAGCAAGCGGGGGTGGGGGGGGAGTAGCCTCCGATTCCCAATGAAATGAAATCCATCCAGAACCTCCACCAGCATTTCCAGCACAAATCTGCTTAGCAGGACATCCTCTGACCAATAACCTCCC